CCATGTAAATGACAGAGACTCAAACTCTTGATTTTTATTTTTTTTTTTTTGGTTAAAAATAAGGCTATATTGAAGCGGAATAGACCCCTGGTAGAGAAGTGTAAAATGTGAAAACTTATCAATAAAATTTTACTACTTTGGGAAATGCATCTTGTTTTGTAATATTGCCGATGCTATTGTTTTTCTGTTCTTAAGTTTTTGCATGTGGCTAGACCTTGTGAATTAATTTTAGCGTACGTGTAAGAAAATAGATATTTCTCATGGAAACGTGTGCTTTTCTAAAAGAAAATGTGACTTTGGAGGCATGTGTAGAGGAATGGTCCCCTGAACTCATATTTCAAATATCTTTGGAGGTAATTAGTTCTAATTAGTGCTTAGACTTTGCATGTCTGTTAGCATATGTAAGAAAAGTAAATTTACACTGAGATTTGTTTTATTTTGAAAAACAAATTTTAAGTGTGTGACATACGTTTGTTTTTTTAGGCTCTGAAGACTTTAAACTTCCACTTCTTGTTTTGCAGCTACCCCTTCTTTACTGCTTTATGTCTACTCAGCTAAATGTACCTGCTTGTAAGTTTTCTGCATATGTTTACTACTTTCTCTCTGCCTCATCTGGACCTGTTTTTTTTTGAATTCTGCACCACACAGTTAAAAAATAAAACATACCGAAAATTCAGTTGCAGTCTATCCTCACCAGTTTTTGATTAAAAAAAAAAAGTAAGCAGCAACATGCATTTGTAACGACGCAGTCTGTTTTACTTCTGCATAGTTTTTTTTTCTTCATTTTGCCTTTGCTTCTTCATTACATTTTGTAATGCAACCCATTCTTGGACCTGTGAGGTTAAATCCTTAACCCAGTTCCTGTAGCTGGTACATGGTCTGTAGAGGCTTAGCCCTGCATCATCCCAAAGAGTGAGAGGTCCTCAATGCCAGCACCTCTAAGGCCTGCTAGGGAGCAGGTCACAGGACTCACCTGACTCACAGGAAGGTGTGAAAAGCAAAAGGAGGGGCACCTTGTCTTAGAAATGTTAGTGGCACAGAAGTAGCTGTTCTTCAGGATCTGTGTTCCTGTCATTGGTACCAAGGTGTTAGTTTGTGTATACAAAACCTGGCCTAAGTTGAAGAAACTAAGACACATTGACTACCAGTCAGTTTTCAGTAATTTTATACTTCCTTAAAACTAATCAAGCATGTAGCCTCTTCTTGAAGGTCATTTCTCAAGAAAGACTTGAGGGTGGTAGGCGTTAAACTCTTGACATAATTCATGCAAATACCTTTTTAAAATTAAACTTTAAGCAGCACGTCCAAACCCTTCCCCTTCTTGTGATACTGCTTTTCCTCTACCAACTGAAACACAGTGTGAATACTGAAAAGTAGTCAAAAAGCAAGCATTTAATTTGAATGGTCGTTTCTTTGTAAACTAAAGGAGCATACTGAGCTGTTTTTTTCATTACTTGTTTTCACTAGATAATGAATGTTTATAATAATGTCAAAGGCTAGGTGTTGCTGGTCGTTTGGCCCAAGTGTCTAATTTCATTCTGTAAATATTACTGTGGTGTTTTTACGTATTCCAGGTTTTCAAATGTGTTAGTGTATGTGTACAAAGGGTAGCTTCTGTAGGTACGTTTGCACCTCTGTAATAAAGAACCTGTTATAATTACATTGCTTTCATAAAAGTGTAACTGTGTGAAGCATTTGAATACTTGGAAATTGACTTTTTAAGTTAAATTTTGCCTTCCGATAAAAATCCCCAGGGCAAAACTCATGCTGACAAGAAGGCGTCACTTCTTGTGCATGGTCTCGGGAATCATAGATCTGCTGTGGGGGAAATGGAACGGAGTTAGGGTCAACAGTGGTATCACTGATTTCTGTTTTCTTCTTAGGTCCTCTCTCACAATTTGTGCACGGTGTTGAATGTTCCCCATGACCCAGTGGCCTTAGAAGAGCACTTTAGGGATGATGATGAAGGACCAGTTTCCAATCAGGGTTACATGCCTTATTTAAATAAATTTATCCTGGAAAAGGTAAGTTTTGAATTCTTGTGTTCTGTTTTCCCTTGATCGGGTTTTGTATTAGCGTCTTAACTTAGGGTCTTATCTTTACAATAGACTTTTACTTTCAGGGGACACACTGATCTGAAGGAAATCTAGTTAGGAGTGTATCTGTGTTGGGTCGTGGCAGGACAAATACTCAGGAAAGTCTGTGCTTTAAAATGGAAGGTTGCATGGTTTTATACTTTTTTTTTTTTTCCTCTCTTTGGTTTCTGTTTCCTGTTACATCTGGTTATCCTCTAAGCTCTGCTCACGCAAAACTGTGTTCATGTTGCTAAACAGCCTCAGTTTAAATGTATTCAAAAGTATCTTGGTCCTATAGATTGTCCTGCTTTATACTGTGGTTTTAATAGAGTGATGTCATAGTCTCCTTTGCAAACAGGAAGGGCAGAAATATCTGTAATGTGGGTTCACAGGGTATTTTGATGAACAGATCCCCCAAAACAGTTATAGTGGGTGACATCAGGGAGTGCTGGTAAGTTTGGTGTTCCAGGTTCTTTCCCATAGAGTCTGAAGTGCTCGCTGCTCAGTCGTCTGTGATTTTGTGCTGTGTGCTGTTTGGGAGAAGCTCTGGAAAGCCACAGTGTTTCCCCCATTCCCATCCCCGCCTTATTCAAAGCAGAAGCGGTCACTGGGCCAGAGCTGTTGTCTGGGAGCTCTCCGTTTGAGATTTAAGTTGAATTTATTGAAAGTAAGAAAATTACCTCCTGGCTTTTTTGTCTTAAGAGACTGCTGGAGGCAGTGAAAAATAGCTGATGTTATAACGGGAACGTGTCAGTCTCAGTGCCACTGATTTCTCTTGTGCTTGGGGACTGACATAAAGCCTCAAACTTTGATACTATGGCTGCAGAGATATACGTATACTTTGTTTTATAAGTTAAAAAGTCCTGAATTGATCTGTAGCTGAAAAGTTCTACCTGGCAATCGCAGTATGCAAACTCCTTAACCCAGTTTGCTTATTTTTCTGCTTTTCAAAGTTTTTAGTCTACATTTAATATTTAATGCAGGTGCAAAACGCGATACATACCTGAGATGCAGCCTGGCAGCTTGGAAACGGGAGAAGCTTCATATATCTGGCTAAGATGTGTGTGCTGTGAAGTTAATCTCTGCCCATCTGTGCTGTTCTTAGCAGTCATCAACCTCTGCCTCCCTAGCATGTGTTTCTTTTCATACGCAATAGTAGTGTCCTGTTTTCTGTGTGGGAGCTGTTGGCCATTACTCCACACAGAAATACCGGTTTACTTTCTTATCTATTCGCTGTTGAAGCACCTTCCTTTGTCCCCGTGAAGTCTTGCAGCTACCTTCTTGCAGGAATTGCATTTCCGCTTAGTGTTGGCTATCTGAGATCCTGTAAGATTCTGCTGAGATCAAATTTTGTGGACAAAGCAAGAGCCTTATTTTATTTGGACTGACGGATTACAGTTGTACAGTCTGAACCACAGGGTTTTTTTTTTTTTTTATGTCATTTTAGGCAATAGTAAGCCATTAAGTCAAAGGGAAAAAAAGGATGGAGATGTGTTTCCCCCCACGTGTAAATCACATGGACTCAAACCCTTGATTTATTTATTTTTGTTAAGAATAAGGATATATTGAAAGGAAGGCTTTTTCAAATATAAACATGCTTTGTTGTTAAAGGATGCTTAGAGGAAGAATAGGGAGAGTGTGAGGGAAATGAGCGATTCCGTTCATTAAATAACACTTTAATTTGAAAATGAAAGACCTGGCTACATAAACAAGTTAACTTGAAGTGAGCAAAGGTTGTGGATTTACAGCTTTTAGCTACTCTGGGACACCTTCTTACCCCGTGGTAAAAACAAAGGACAGGCTAACGGTTTTCATCAACAGAAATAGTATGGTTGCATGTAGTTTCTTCAGCTGTTTTATTCATACCTTAATCTGTCTTATGAAAATTGACTCATATACCCATACCATTAGTTTATCTTAAAACGAGGCAATGTTAAGGAGCGGAATTAAAATGCCCGTAACTTCACGTTGTTTAATCCTGATTAAATGTCTTTAAACAGTTTAGATATGTCCTACTAAAAGTCAAATTCTGTAGGCACAGGGCTATGTTTGTGGACCATAAAAATCTTGATTGTGACATGTCATCTTTTAGAGACAGCTTTAAATCGGTGCCCAAAGACCTTTGTTTAAAAAAACAAGTACGCCTTTATATAAAACAAACAAACAAACAGAAAAACCCAACAGGAAACACCCTTTTTTTCATTCTTCCAAGGAGTAATCTGTTCTCTTAGATGCGGTGATGGCAGACCAAAATTTATTACCTTGTGCTACTAAGCAAAGCTGCTAAAGGAGGATCAGTGTTTTATATCCACAAATACAGAGAAAGATCTCGATTTCTAGTCATACGTTTTCTTGTGTGTTACTCTTCTAGGCATGCAGCTTCTTACTGATTTGAGCAAAAATAGCCTTCTCATGAGAGAATTTTTTTATGCCAAGATATTTTGCTTTAAAACATTAGCAAATGCTTTATTTACAGAATAAACCCTTACATTTCTTTTTAAGCAGTTATAGAACATCAACTGGTATAATTTCACTGAGAGGACTTTGTAACCTTTTGAAATATCTCCTCTTGTGCCCTTGAATGCAAATGAGTCTTTTTTTTTTTTTTAAAGTGCTGGTGTAACCTGCAATAAAGCCTCTTTATATAGAACCAAGGAATCTTCAAGAAATGCACAAGTTGGTAGGTCGATAGGGGAAGTTTGTAGCAACTAATTTCCTTTATTTAAATAGGGAATTTGAATAATTAATAATACCTGAAAGTACCATGCTGCTTGTTACTTGGCAGATAGATTTATCTGGGATTTTCCTGCATCCAAAATGAAATCTGTTCTTTTTCGGTAAGTGCCCTTTTCAGGAGGGAACTGTCACTTGCCAATATCATGCTTTCATAATTTGTTTTACTCTGTACTGTTCAACATGTTCAATTTTATAATTCTCTACCTTCTCCCTGTGGGTCATTGATAGCCACCTTGTTTCAAAGTACAAGCTGGCTGTAGAGCCACCCGCTATATTTATGGTGCTTAGAGCAATTGCCAGCTCGTGGCTCTAGGAAAGGAGGTTTCCCACTCCACCTGCATCTTCCGCAGGAGCAGCATAACCGGTTACAAGGCATTTCCAAGGTGGAAGTGCTCATTGCCTGGGTTGGTGCGACTGTTCTAGAAAAAGAAGCCAAACTTCGTTGGGCTGGGTGGTGAGGACAGGCTGGGAAAAGCACAGGCAAAAATAGCCACAGGATGAGTGAGGCACTGGCAAACGGGAGGATGTGTAAGGAAACCCCAGTTCTGGTCCTGCCTCCAAAGAGTGTTTCTGCAGCTTGCTTAGCTAGTGTTTCATTTACCCTCGTGCTTCTCGTGTGAATAACCTGGATGCTGAGCTTGTGGTTGTAGAAGCTGGAGCTCCTACAACTTGCACCTTCTTCAAAGGGCAGCTGTGGCCTGTGACCTGCCCCTTGCAATGTCACTTGCCCTGGTGACCAGCTCTGAAAGCATGCAAGGTCTGTGGTTTTCTTTCATAGCCTCACTTTTAGTCCTGGAAACTGTACTTAAAGTGTTTGTTGGCATAGGGTTCGTTTCCTGTTTATCTCTGCCTTTTCTCTCCATCTACATCAGTTTATCCACTTCCTTAATCAAACTGTAAGTTAGCCACTGTGGCTCACCCTCAGCTATGTTTGAGCACTTACCAGACTGGATAGGAAATGATTCAGTTTACTGATCGTGTCCTTCAAGCATGTGGTTTGGTCTATCATAGGAAAATTTGCACTGAATATTATTGGTATCATTACCAGAAGAGGTTCAAGAACCTATTTCTTACACATGCGTTCTGAAACTGCAAGAGACTTTCATTACGATGCAGAGCGTGCCTTTAACTTCGTGTTGGCAAAGAAACAGCATGGCAGAGCTGCAGGGAGATCTATAGGTTTCATTCCTAACATCAATGAGGGTTTAAAACAAAACAGAAGAAATGAAAGCTTTGCATATGTAAATAATTCACAGATATGTATGCACAAATATTAGATGTAACAAAAGATAGCAAAAGGTAGTTTTTCTGATCAGTAAGGTGGATGTTTGGAAGTCTGACAAATGAAAGGCTTTAAGTAGATTAGCTGTTGAAGAAAAAATGATCACCTATTTATAATTGTTTTCCTACAATAGTTACATTAGAATAATATAAAGTAGAAAAACATAGTAAACCGCTGCTCCAGTATTACTTTTAGTATAGCCACGTGTAGTTTTTTGTTTTAATATAGTAAATTTGGAAACCACTATATCTCTGTAGATCAGTGTAACAGAAGGGCAGTTGGAACTGAGAAAGTTATGATGATGATGATTTGGAAGCTAAAGCTTCCACTTGTACTAGAGTGAATGCAGAATACAGCGTAGCCTGCTTCACATAAAGTCAAGGTGTGATTAACTGACCCAGAAATTGGGAGGTTGGACGCAGCTATTACTCGAGGAAATTCTTCAGCTCACCCCTTTTCGGAAGTCAGATAAGGCTGCTACAGTGCTCTTTTTGGATCTTAACTTTTATTGAAAACTAGAATTTCCTCAGTGCTTTTTTGTATGACTTTGTGTGTTAAATTTTTTTCTGTTAAAGTTCATCTGTCTGTTACTATGTGTCTTTCTGTGCATGTTTAAAAATTTTTTTTTTTAATTTCTTCATTTTTAGGTTCAAGGAAACTTTGACAAAGTTGAATTCAATAGGATGTGCTGGACGCTCTGTGCTAAAAAGAATCTCTGTAAGAGTCCTCTGCTGATTAGTGATGAAGATGCATTTAAAGTGTGGGTTATTTTTAACTTTTTGTCAGAGGACAAATACCCTTTAATCATTGTACCTGAGGAGGTAAGAAGCAAAAACTTGTGCTGTTTAACACCAGTTTGTTTAATGTTTCATTTCAGCTGTATTAGTGTTTGTTGTCCTCTAGAGATTCAGGAGAAAACAATTTTTGAAGGTAAAACTTTTATTCTTCTCTTTTAATAACGTAAGGCCTCACGTGCTTTTTTTTTTTTTTTTTTTTTTTTTTTAAAACTTCCCGGGTGCGTATGGGGAAAACCCCACAGGACACTTTAGATATTGATGTCATTTGAACAGCCTCGACTAAACGGGACATGCTGCCTGGCCCCTAGTAATTAGCTAATATTGCATTTTGTGAGGACTGATTGGTGTCGGAGAGGCTAGCTTCAGAATCACGCCCTGAGCTTCAAATCACAAGCTGTTGAGGTTGTCACTTCACTAATGAATAGTGCATGTGTGTGAGCTCTAAGTCACTGCACTTGCTTATGTGTTGGTACATGTGTTTTGCACAGTTGGTACATGACTGTGATTGTGGAGAAAGAATTTCTCCTTTCTGCTCTGTGTTACGATTTGCAAGAAGAATGTTCAGTCTCATGTCACCCTCCTGCTGTTTTTGAACTTTTCTGATGACATCTGTTTCTGATCAATAGCAAACAGCATCTGAACTCCTGCTCGAAACGGTTGAAGGAATAACAGTAGTGTGCAAAAAAGCAGAAAGATCTCTTTATACTTTAAATGCATGAACAAGTTTGGGCAAAGCGCAAATAGGAATTTTAACCCTAGAGGAGAATTTTAATATCTTCAAAATTTAGTGCTATTGTCATGGGGAGGGGTGAGGGAAGATCACGGCTGAAGGCATAAGTAATCTCATGCAAAACCCTATACAGAAATCCCAGGGCTTTGCAGTTCAGCACCAAAGAACCGATTAATATATTTTGCTAACTCTTAAGGGTCAGAGTCTGATTTGAAAACTGTGTGGCTCTAAGTTGTCATGCCGAACTGTAAAGCAGATATAGCTCCCCTTCCCTATCAAAATGAGTGGCTCAGCTTTGCCTTACTGCTTACTTTTGAGCAGGAGACTTTCACTCTGTAACATTTCAGATTTTACTCAGACTGGTGAGGACAGGGGCCTAACTGGCGTGCTTCTGTTCCCATGAGAAATGAGACAGTTTTCATACTTTCTTTCCTGTTCTTTCTGTAAGTTTTGGGAGATGAGGACAATGTTTTTGAAAGTTAAGACAGCTCCTTTCCTAATGGTGCCAGATTTGGCCTTGGTAGAAGGTCAGAACCGTGCATGTAGAACCTGGGACTCAAATTCACTCCTCTGGTGTGTGTCCCTGGTCCTCCAAGGGGCTGCCTGGCTTTTCTGGTCGGTAAGTATTTCACTTCTCAGTTATCCGTTGCCGTGGTTAAAAGCTTCAGAGCTGCCAGCTCTGGGTGCTGGCGTTGCTCACTTGCTCTCCCTCCACCAAAGAAACCCCCAAATTCATGCTGCCATAGGTACGTGTCACTGAGTAATTGCAGTGTGTCTTTTGTTGTTGGATGGGCTGCGGAGTCAGCCTGGGCCTGAAAGAGTTTCTCCAGATTTCAGAATTGGTGTCATTCTTTACTTCCCATCCTTGAGGTCCGGTGTTAACCTGAATTGCTCTTTCACTTGGATTATTTTAAATCTCTTAAAGTGGACCTGCGTCTCCATCTTCTTGATTACAGCAGGATTTAAGTTGCGCAATACTGTTTAAATAAAGCTTATAAAGCCTGACAAAGAAAGGCTGCTCTGTTCTTATCATGTACAATGCCTGTATTCACTCTCTAACCTTTTGCCTTAGACCACACAGGTAATGTAATCAGTCAGTGGAGGATTGCTGTCTTTTGAATGCACTGCTTTCTGTTTTGCACCAGGCCTCCTGGGTTTTCTGTGTTTCTGAAAAATTCCACATTTACCACATTTATCCTTTTACCCAGAATTCCAAAAATAGAGATGCGAAGTCTTAATTTCGGTCAGTTTTGCTTTTTTCTCTGTGTGACCCTTCATATCTGCCTTTTAAGTGGTTTTGTCTGTTTGTTTTTAAATACTAAATCTAAACTCCAGATGAGATTTCCAGTGCATTTTTTTTTAATACAAACCGGTAATGGTGGTCCTAGCGCTGAGAATTTCTAGCTGAAAATAATTCCTTTCAGTAGTATTCAGTTTGATACTGTTAAGGTATTTTTCTTTCCATTTACTTTGTATTGCCTCTTGAGTTCATAATAAAGCTTGATTATAAAGTTAGTCTTCACCACTATTTTCTGTCATTTAATTAAAAAAATCATTTGCACATCATGTTTAAATGAGCTACGAGCAGGGATTGTTTGCTAAGTGGTGAACAGATAGGATGATGATAAAGCTGTTGCAATTCTGTGTTTATGTTTCGGGAAGACAGATGTAAACTTCTCTCATGAATTGGTGTAACTTTCCAGCCAGGGAGTGAGCTTTCCTTTCCTCCCTGTTTGTTTCTCTTATCGTTAGCTGAGAATATTGCCACACACAATTTACTACAGGCTCCCCCTTCGCTCATACTTTCAGGTGAGAAAGGTGATCGATGGCTTGAAGCTTTTCCATCCTATCTTGTGGATGGGAAAATCTGACTGATAGAAAGGAGGGAACTTCTTGGGTCTGCACTGTGTTGATGCAACTTCAGGTCACTAAGGATGTGTCCTTTTCCTCCTCAGAGAAGGAGCTGCTCCTTGATTTATTTTTGGTTTTTGTTTTTCAAGTGGCATAGGCTGTCTCTGCACTTGCTTAAATACCTACACATCTGGAAATCTCTACTGCTTAGGTGCACTTTCATTTTCTTTACACTGTTCTGACTAAAGATTGAGGCTGCTTTTTGCCAGTGTTACATACCTTTGCTCTAGGGCTGTTACATTAGGCCTTCATATTAGACAGCTAGTTATGGTGGGGTTATTGCTCGCACCTGCTGAGTGCTAAGGCATGATTCCCTGCGCAGCTGATGAACAGCAGCAAATCAGGAGCTGTTGCAGCTGCTACTTAAACAGAAAAGGAAAAACAGGCTCCCTTGGAAAGGCTTCAGAGACACAGGCTGAGGAAAGCTTTAGGAAGAGCAAAGCAAGGAAAGCAGCGACAAAGTGAGAATTTCGTAGCAGTGGTGTGATAGCATGAGGGACAGAAGTGGCCTGTTTCCTTGTTTGGCTGAGGCTGGGTGAAATCCCAAAGCAGTGGCTGGCTGGGTTTCCTCACCCGGCCTGGGCAGAGAGAGGGCAGCCCCAGATGCAAGGGGATCAGGTCCGTACAACCGCACCCAGGGACAGGCCCAGCACTGGTATGTCTGTGTTGGTCATGGAGGGCGCCTTGCTCAGCTGATGATGGCCTGGACTCCGGTGCTGCTTCAGCTGGCTCCAGGCTGACGGCTAAGAACAGGTAGGAGAGTTGGAAAGAAACACAGGCTAAGGAATGTGTCTTTGCAAAGGTGTTCCTGTCCCTAGGGACACGTGGGTATGTTCCCTTTTCAGCCTACAAATGAACCCTCTCCTGAGGTCAGAGGAGAGCAGTACGAAGTCTGAAAGCTCGCTCTCCTTTCAGGTGAGAAGCCTTGCTCTGCACAGAGCAAAAAGTTTCTGAAAACTGGGTGAAGGTGGTATTTTGAAGAGCTACAGATAGCTTGGAGAAGAGCAATGCTGTGTTTTGTTTGCTCAAGTTAAAATTAGTTTGTCCAGTTTGTTCAACTGATGGACAGTTTTCAGAATTAGTACAATCCTTAGCTAGGGAGGCAGTTGTCTTCTGTGGCCATGGGGAGAGCTGCAAAAGCAGCAGTATCTACAGTGCTCTGAACTGGGAGCCAAGATTGGGACTGTCCTCCCTTCTCAAAGCCGATCTCTTCCTCGAGATTATCCAAGATGTGGGCATCCAGAGCACGTTTTCTTCTGATCCTCTGTTTTGAGAAGGAAAAAAACGGAGGGAAGAAAGGTGGAGAAATGTGAAGATGTAAGAAGAAAAATGTTTCTAGCTGTTAGTCTGTCATGAGCTTTCCTTACAATTCCCGACTAAGTTATTACAGGCTCCTTTGTATGCTTTGGTATTGTTTAACCAGACGTTTTCTGTTTTATGAAAAGGTTTCCAAACGCTTCCCCTTCCTTATTTCTGAACATGTGACTGTAGCCTCAGGGAATGTGTTATCGCCTGAAAGCTGTGGTATGTGGTTAGCTGTGTTTTTGGGACATCCTTAATTGTGAAAGTTGCAGAGCTGTGCGCTGCAAGCTGTACGGTCCTTGGGTATTCTAACGTAGTGTTCAAGTAACATGCTTTAAATAAGCCTTATTTATTTATTTATTTATTTATTTATTTATTTATTGCCTGGCTTCTTTTTTTTTCCGGAGATTTCAATCTATACAATCCTGCAATACATAGGTAGAACACATTTCTTACTGCCACTTTACTTCAAGTTTACACTTTTTAAAGTGATAATTCCTTGACAGATTCCTGTTCGCCTAAATTTTAAAGAATTCTATGCTCTAAAACCTCTTAAAGGATAAGAGTAAGCTTATAAAAGCGCATTCATTATAAAACATATTCCTCTACATTAATTTCTGAGTACATAAGATGTTTGATTTGCAATAATTATGGAATGCCTGTACCTCAAATGCATTTTGTAACATTTACGTTTTTTATGTTTGTACTCCAGATCAAAAAACATATTTCAACAAATGCTGGCTATGCAAGTTGTGTGATTACCTCAGCCTTTAACAAATGGCACACTACAAGGTTCTCTGAGAATATTCTGAGAAGTAAAATAAAACTAATTTCAGACTTTTGCTGTTCCATCAAAAACAGAGTGAATGGAAAATACTGATCATTCCTCTATTTTATCATCATGCACGTTAGTTTTATATCCTGGAAATTACTTTGCATATGACTTCATCTGACATAGAGATGGTATCACTGAGATGCAAAAGCACTTAGAAGGACTTAGGCATTTTCTTAATATTTGTCACGAGTTTAGAACTTACCTCCATGCTGTACCTGTTTTATGACAGAGATTATAGCATTTTTC